TAGACGGTGGTGTAAAATAATTTATAATTAGGTGATGGCATCCATGATGGTTTGCATTTATCTGTTTATCCCCAAAGCCAGGGGAAGAAGCAAACATGATGCATCCCAGCTTCCCCAGTGAGTGATTAGCAGGTAAAGAAAAGGCAGGTAGTCGTCCACCTGGAAGCTTTTAAATACTGAGACTTAACCTAAATGTGGCTCAGAAGACACAGATCGACCTTATCTGTACAGTATATTTGCCAAGTAGGACTGAACGTAATTACATCTAACTTAAGATACTTTACTGACATCTAGTGGCCATTTGCATGAACTAACAAACAATGATGTGCTTCTTAATAATAATTGAACTATATTGATCTCACATTGGAGAAATGTACCTCTGCATTTAACCCATTTCCTTTGGGGAGCAGTGGGCTGCCATTGTGTGGCGCCCAGGGAGCAGTGTGGGGTTAAGGATCTTGCTCAGCAACCCAGAGCGCAGGCTGTGGGGATCAAACCGGGGATCAAACCTTCTCAGAGCACAAGTTCACTGCTCTAACCACTAGGCCAACACTCCCCATCACTCTCTGCATTTAACTAATTCCCTTGACGAGCAGTGGGCTGCCATTGTGTGGCACCCAGGGAGTGGTGTGGGATTAAGGGTTTTGCTCAGGGACCCAGTGTGGGGGCTGTGGGAGTGGGGCTTGAAATCAGAACCTCTGGATTCCAAGCTCAATGCCCTAACTACCAGGCCACCACTCTCCTTCTTGGACTCAATATGTGTAAGCTAAACAAATAGGAGGAGTTTTTAACATTTAACATCGTATCATGCTGCATACTTGTGCTACCATGAGTCAGAGACACTTTGATCAACTGTTGCTGAAAAATCGATTCAATAAAAGTTTTATTTTTTTGGCAGCTTTAAATAAAGGAATTAAAGACATGTGTTCTATATAAGGTAAAAAAAAAAAGAGATTAATGTGAATTTTATATACAGAATTAAATTCATGGACAGTCCTATACAGGAGCCAGGGCCTAGATACATTTTTGATTAAATTAATAATGATATGCATTGGCATAGAAGTCATTGATCCTTTTTTTTTTATCTTGACAGTTTTATCTTGAAGATGTAAAAATTAAGTTATGGCATTTTCAGCTTCAGGCATATCGAGATATGATCAGAGTTTTCATCTGCTTTATTAGAGGTTTTCAGATCAGCAAAAGGCTATTTGGTTGTCTTGATATTTTCACCTTTTTGTGTGTCACTCTTTTGTTCAGGGCCCCCATAAAAATAATGACTGGCCCCACGCTGGTCCACTGGTAAATTTAGTGTAGAAGTCAGCTCTGTTTTAATTTAACACTTTATGTATAACCTAATCCATCTTTTTATGCATAAACAATTAGAACTACTCATCCAACCCCCAGTTGAAGTTAATAAAACATGTTATAAGGAAATAACTGGAATATTGTTTTACCCTCTGGTAAAGTAAGCCAACTTACCACACAAACAAGAAAGCTCCTGCTGTAAACTGACTTTAAAACTATAAAGACAGCCCAGCCCTGATGGGAGTTATGTCCACATTTACTATGATCTCTAACAAACACATGAAGTCAACCTCTGACTGTACAGAATGATTGATGAAATACGAAGATAAGGCTGGAATGCAATGTAATAGAACCAATCTAAACAATTAGGTTACCTTGTGTTGATTCAAGTAGTGAAATGTCTGACCTTTCAAAACTGATAAAGAAAATCGTGTAATGAGTAACCAGTAACATTTTATTGAATTTGATTGTAAATTAGATTGTCTTATCTTTCCCAGGCATGACATGAGGAATTTAATTGGTCTTTAGGATTCCGCTCAGTTGCACAAAAACAACGCAGTGCTTCCATTTCCCACCAGATGGCAGAAACAAACCTATTAAGAGCACCCTAAGCTGGTTTATTCACTTTTACAACCACTTAAAGTGCTAAAAATCACATCAATTTTGATGTATAAGATTAGGAAATAGTTTCTCAAGAGTTGGAAATAGGATGGCCCTGATTGTATGAGAGAGAATAAGCAATGATCTAAGAGCTGCAGAGCTGTCCTTCAGATAAGTCCTTGAAGCAGTTTATGAGTCTGATAAAAGTTTCAAGAGGTCTTAGTAGAATTTAACATCAATGAATCAATTCTCAGATAAATAATCTACAAGTAGAAAGGAAACATAACAGCCGGCAAAACAGACAAAATTTCATCATCCAAACATGTCTACCCCAAGATGTTTACAAAATAACGACTAAAGTATCCCCATAGACCTACATTACATGTTTGCTACTGCTGATGCAAATGTGTATAATCTGAGAGATATTACAGAAGCTTAGCTTATATTTCATGAGACGTGAGCAAAAATTAAGTTTTCACTCTAAGAAAAACTTAGATGCCAGATTTTAGTTTGCCAAAGCCAGTCTAGACAGGGACCAGGACTTTAATTGTAATTTCACTGTTATTGTCCCCTGAGGGAAGTTTGCTTTGCAGGAGGAGAAAACCATAAAAACATTTAAGAAAAAATATAATCACAAAATTTCACCAACAAAATTTAAACCCTTAAGGAAGAACCATTATTATGCATCACGTCTTCGCTTTTTCAAATTCAAGTTCAGTTGTGTGACATTTTGTATTAAAAATACGTTTTCTATACTGTTGGATTTTCCCTTTGGACTTCTGGAATCTTCTTCTGTGAAAGGACAGCTCTATATTGCAGTTATTTGGACACTAAGACAGAATGAGTGGTTGTTCAACTGTCATCATACACAAGTTAAATACTGCCAGCAACAGAAAATATGGATAAATAAAAGATGCTAAACATTAAAAAGAATATATATATATATATATATATATATATATATATACACATTTTTTTTTAAAGCTAACGAACATTATTTTTGTAGAGGAACTAAATCAGGGATTACAAGTTGTCACAATCATCAGGATGTGATGATCCCTGAGGTATAGAGGGCCAAAATATATCATGAAATATATGTAAAACATGCAATAAACAATTCCCATTTATTTATTTATACAACATATTATCTAATTATGCCGTTAAACTGTAAAATGCATGTTCTGATTAAGCAATAACAGGAAATAAAAAAGATAAATTAAACATTAAATATAATTTAGAAAAAAAACTACATGTGTTTAATAATCTGGGTATATATTTTTTATAGTTACAATTAATTTTGAGTGAAAGTAACTAATGTATTTTTAAGGGGTCTCCACTGGTATTATATTCAGAGTCAGAGACTGAAATGTTGTGGAACCCCTGGGCTAAATTAATAAATGTTATAGGTGGAATATAGAAAAACCCCATCATATTTAGTGTGTATATTTAGAGATTTATTCAGGTTCCCGACCATGCAAGGCCCTAAAATTTAATACATTGAAGGTGAAATCTGAAAGTAACTGGTAACCAGTGTGGAAAAATCAACACTGGATTCATGCCTGTTAATCTATTGATTCCGGTTCAGACACCGGCTGTACGTTGTAAAAGTAAAAACCAATAGTTTGAAGCCAAACAGATGGAACAGACCCTGTTCCATGTGTTTAGGATATGTGTGGTAAAAGAAAACCATTTACATTTATTTAGAAAACTTTATTTTATTCTTCGCAACTCAACAGCTGTGGCTCTTTGAACAGTCTCCAAGTGATAAATTCAAACAACAAACAAGGTACATATACATCAAACAACACACAGCACCGTCTATCTCATTAAAAAGGATCTACAGTGAAGCAAATCTTAGAAATGAACAGAAAAATGGCATTGGGGTTCAGTCAAAAAAAAAAAAAAAAAAATTTAGGCTTAAGATTTTTTTTTTTTTTAAAGAAGAAAAGTTAAATAAAAAGGATTGAAAAAAGGGAAAAAAATGTCATAGCAATAATGAAAAGGCTAAAAATAAATTTTTTTCTTTCAGGTTATCAGATGCTCTGTACTGTTTTTACTTCAGGTTATACATAATTTAGCAAAAACTATATGCAAATCCTCAGGGTGATCTAAAGTGGTTACATTCAACTGTGGAGTGCCACAGAAACTACATTATATATAAAATCTACTGATCAGCTTCTGAAAGCAGCGTTTTCTTTTTGGCTAAAACACTGGTTCCGCCACAATTTATTCCTGAGGTTGTAACGCGGTCTTAATTATGATCTACGTGAAACATGTCGGGGGGGAAGAGGTTGATGGATGCACAACAATAGTTAGTCTAAACCAAAGGACAACAACCTAACTTATAAACATGGTGACATCCTGCAGGATGTATATGGCAGCAGATCTTCAGTCTTTTGCAAATCTTTAAAGCCTTTTTTTATGCTTTGCAACATTTGCTGCTTGCTTGTTCAAGTTGTCACAAAGAGACATGCCCATGCCACAGTGTCATGATGCAGCTGCACAAATAAATGCATGAGGATGCAGAAGAACGTTGAATATTTAGGCATTAACGAGACATAAGACACTTCATGACTCCGGACATCTTCACGAGAGTGGTTTCAAGCATAACACAGCCAGATAGTTAGCTCCGTGCAGCGAGGGATCTTCTTCACAAACAAAGGAATCTACTAGAACAAAATTTACTGACTGTACCTACTGGAGACAGGGTAGTGCAGAAACAGTGAATGAACCAATACGAACGACTGTCAGGAGACCAATGCGAGGTAGCGTTGACGAGGGGAGCAGTGGGACCTGAGAGGACAAAGCTTGCAGCGCTAGGTAAATGCTTCGATTTGCATTTCTGTGTATAAAGAGAAGACATATAGCCCTGTGAGAGAAAGGGAGGTGCATGAGCTCCTTTCCTTTGCAGCTGGTGAACAAATCGAACACAAATAAATGTAAAGCTTGCAAGCGAGTACCGTGTTCTGATGTGAGTGCAGTCGGATGCAGAGAGCAAAGAGAGCCACTCTGCTTTAGGTTAGTGTATATACATTTGAATAACTGACAAGCAATGAATATTTCTTTCTTTTTTTTAAGAGCAAAGGCAAAACTCCTCTTTAAAGTTTCTCTTTCGTCAAAAGGGCAAGATCAGTGTCACTAGCAACAATAACAAATTTACAAAGCAGAGAATATAAAATAAAAAACATTCAACTTCTGAAATAACGTCATACAGTAGCATACTTTTCAAAATGAATTGAAGAACAATTGAAAATACATGCACAATTTCCATGGACGATATTTCTTCCTTTGTTTTCCACGACACTGTAACATTGTAGGTTGGTTTAATCTAGTCTGTTGTACAAACAGTTATGGACACACACAAAAAAAAATGTGAAATCACTGACATGCATGTCTTACACTGAAAGGAAAAAGGAAACAAACAGCCATTATTAACAATTTTACCTTATAGTAGTATGAAAAAAACGAAACAAAACAGAGATGAATGGAATTAAACCATGTTAACGAGAGGTGGGGCAGGGCTTGTTTGGTTGCATTGCATGTCGACAGGTCAAAGGTCAGGACTGCTGGCCCCCCCACTGACTCTCTACAGGCCTCCGTAGAAGCTCCTCCACATGCCGAGCCACATCCATGGTGTCGTCCAGGTCGAAGTCTCCGTCTCCGTCTAACACGGGGTCAGCTCTGTCAAGGCAAACAAAGAATATCCAAACGTGCACAAGACCAACAAAACACACTTTTTGTATTTTCCCGGGACTAGGGTACTTACATAGCTGAGTACATGCTATAAGGGTGAGAGTGATTAACAGGAGCTGGAGAGGCGCCTTGATCCATATATGTTGGATTTCCACTGACTGGGTCTGGATTAGCTGTAGCAAAGCTGTAAAAAAAACAAAAAGAAATCATACATAAAAATGGAATTGTAATTCTGAACTAAAAGACCCGGAAAATGCATTCAGCAGTTTCCAAAGCAACAATTCTCAGCGTGTTTCCTGTGCTTATTCACATCCTTACGTCCTTTTTCTGTAGCGCTGCGAAACCGACCATAGAGAGGGGCAGACGGCGCAGCTTCATAACTAACGAGACTAACTCATATGATGAGTGGAAGACAGGCTCATGCAGGAACCCCCCGCCATCTTTAATTGGCCTCCTCCAACTGTAACAGCTAACTAATGGCCGACCTGAATTCAAGGTCCGGCACTGGGTGATTAACTCTAAATGCTGCTTCAGAATAATAACAGACAAGTGGATAGCAAAGGGAGAAGAGTAGGAAAAAGGAAACAGAAATGGACGCACAAGACGAAACATACAACAGGATGTAAGTACTTACTCAGGCACTACTTGTTTGATTTGTGGTTTCACATAGCCATCCACTGCTTTAGCTTTAAAAAGAAAATAAAAAAACACAACAGAAGAAAAAAAAAACATAAAAACAGTGTTTTCCACACCATAAATAACAAAATGAAAACATTTAGACCAGTATTTTCAGAGCTTTTTATGAAAACAGTCTCTTACAGAGGGGTGGTGTGTAATATTTGGAGAACACCTCATCTTTGGGTCTGTCAGGATAGAGGAACAGGAGGTGATTGAGATCACTGATTCGGTCGGCCAGGGAGCGAATGGAGAAGTCTTTAGTTGTGTAGGGCATCAGATTCCAAACCATTCGCTCACCTAAATGCACAGAGGGTATAATCAATAACAGAATTAATTTCTGTCTATTTCAGATGTTTAAAGAAAACTAGACAGGTTATAAATTCACCAGATGCTTACTTAAGAGTCAGGCTAAAAAGAAAGTAAACCCTTTTTAAATGAAAGGTAACGTGAGTTAGATTTACTATGATGTGATTTTTTTTGTGCTCATGTTAGGTGTTTATATTAGGTAAAGATAACCTAAGAAAATATAAAAGTTTCAAGGGAATAAAAGCTATCCCAACCAACAACATCCGTGAGAAAAAGCTCACAACCCCTCCAATTAAATCATGAGTTAACAATAATTAACCGCGTTTTTCTGAGGTCACTAGTAACACTCAGGGCTGTAGCCTTGACTGACCCGCAGAACAAATAAATGATTTGAATAGTGAAACGTCTGACAACAGGAAGCAAGCTGAAATTTTTTTAACAGATCGTATAATAATCTGAAGGAATTCAAAGCCATCTTTAAGGCTTTTGAAGCCTTGCAAAACAGTGAGCGTTATTCACTATAAAGAGAGAGAAAGATGAAGTAGGAGTAAAAAATTTCCCTGGAGGCCAGTGCAACCAAAATACATCATACTGACAAATTCTATTTATTTATTTTTTGCATTGTGTTCTGCTTACATAGCCCTGAGAATCCACGTACCATATTGTCAATTAAACATGGTGATGGTAGCTGTTTTTGACACCAAGAGTGATACAAATTTTCACAAGAAATGTAAAATTTTTATTTTTATTAAGCCTTATTCATGTACTTCAAATGAAGTTCCCTCAATCTCTATGTCAATAACCATCAAGTTGAAAAATGTAATAATATATACATTTCATAAATAAATATACATATAAATATATATATATATATATATATAGATATATATATATATATATATATTAGAGTCCTGCAACGGGTCGGGTACCCGACGGGTCCCCGACGGGTCACCCGCTAAAATGCTCTTTCGAGGGTGAAAAATACATAAATAAAAATAAACGGGTCGGGCGGATATTTTTTTAGTGCGGGCGGATAGTTGGTGATTTTTTTTTTATGCGTGTGTGTTGTTATGGACATCAGAAATGTTATAATAATCAGGCACTGGGGTCACCCTTGTTGTAGCTTAAAGCCCTGCCGGCAGTGTGGGCTTCCCTCCAAAAAGGCCACAGTCAGTGCATACACGTCTGCTGCAGTGTTAATGGCGCTGTTCTGCAGCGCAGCGTACTATAGCCTATTACTTGATGTGTTAATGGGTCGGGTTGCGGGTTAAATATTAACTGGTCGGGTCGGGTTCGGATTTGAATTGAAGATATCCGCGAGTGACGGGTCGGGTTCGGTAGTCATCCTAACTGGTTCGGGCGGGTGCGGGTTGGTAAAACTCGACCCGTGCAGGACTCTAATATATATAGATATATATATATATATATATACACCACACAGGAATACTCTGTTTTTCAGTGTAGTCCTGTTTCTCTGACTGTGATTGGCTGGATGTGCTCTCTTCATCCTCTGACATGGGAGATGACTCGTCTGCCTGGCTGTGCATTTCCTTGACGGGGCTGACTGTGGAGCTGGTTTACAGCTGCTTTTTGTATCTCTGCTTCTGTCTCCTTGAACCCCAGTCGGCCTCGGCAGATGGCCGCTCACACTGAGTCTGGTTGTGCTGGAGGTTTCTTCCTGTTAAAAGGGAGTTTTTCCTCTCCACTGTCGCTACAAGCATGCTTATTGTGAGGGATTACCTTCAAGTCAATGAGTCGCTGCAGTTAACTGGTTTTACTTGGGAAACTTTGAATAAGTTTGACTGTATGATCTGGTTGAACTGTAAAGTGCCTTGAGATGAAATGTGGGGTGAATTGGCGCTATATAAATAAACTGAATTGAAAACTTAAAAAAAATATATATATATAATGTATAACAACAATTAAAATATATGCTCTGTTAGAGTAGTATAAAAAAATAGAAACCATATAATACAACGTGTTTCAATACTGGTGCTATTCCAGGGAAATTACTATTTAAAAACATGGAGGCGTGAGGAACCACAGATAAAATAACCTCTGCTACCATCAGATCATCTGAGCAGGGAATTTATATATGAGAACAATTTAGGTTATCAATAATCAGAACCAGTTATTGGTGGAATAAATGAGTAGAGAAATGAAATAATGAAATGAATAAAGCATGAGGCACTCACTCGTCTCCACATCTGTGAATTGAAAAAACAAATTGAGCCAATACCTAACATTAAAAGAGACATAGGTATAAATTCCTCACTGCTGTCTCCAGGGAATGACGTTTTTGAGTTGTTGAGGGTTATACGAAATCTGTTTTGAAAAAGGCCACAGGAGGAAAGACAGAAACATTGTTGATGATACAAATAGGGATTTTTTAAAAATAGTTAATGTAGAGTCCTTTCCCAGCGAAACTGAGGAACTCTAATGGCTAATCGAGGCTAGCGAGATACAGGTTAAACCTAGCAGCAGATATAAAAAGACCCTTCCTTTTATTCTAAGGTCACTAAGCTTTTCAAGGGTGGTTACTACCACCCTTGAAAAGCTGAGCCAGTCAGCTTTATAATTGATAGCGACTGTTTTGGCAAGCTAGAAAGCTGGAGAGATGCCTTGGCTCCAGACTTGTGTCTCGGCATTATGTGGTCAGACACCAGAGGGCTAGATGTTTGAAAAATGGGGTCAGTCAGGATACAAAGTCCCCTGAACAGCTTTATCTAAATCCCATTTTTAAACAGTTTGATGAAATAAGAGACCATTTAGTTTCTTAGCTAAAGAGCTGCTCACTTAATTCTAAAAGGAAATTAAATGTTGTTGTTACTCTTATATGTAGATGGAAAGGATCTCCTGTAGCGGTCTGTGTGGAGCAGACCTGGAGAAGCCTTTGACTAAACTGGTGTTTACTTTTCTGGACCTTTAAATTCCCAGATAACTCCTTTGGATCGAAGGTGAAATTGCGCAACAGTGAATGCATTGACTCTTGTTAGCTAGCATTCATCTCCTGTGCATCTCTGCAAAAGAATGATTTAACATTCATATATAATTTCCGTATTCCTCCAGTTTCTTTGTGCCCTTTGAACCGCTCCTGTATTTAGCCATTAAGACTCACAGACAAATATTTTACACTGGATGCCCTTCCTTACGCAACTGAGATTCAAACCTGGGTCCTCTGCATTAAAGTCAAACCCAAACCACTTCACCATGGGAACCACTCTCTACTCAACTTATTCCTCTTAAAAACTGAAAAAAAAAATGAATAGCTAAAGAAAATTCCTTGAAAATTAATGTATGTTAAACAGCAATCCTGCAGTATAACGATGCACTGCTAGCCGCAATGGATGCTCAACAAAATCTATCAAAGAAAACCGCTGCAGACGACACCAGAGTTGTGAGAAATGACTTCTGTTATGCATGACTGATTGGCATATGCAAATAATATGAGCTTTGAAGTGCTTGAGTTTTATTTGCCAATTGTCATGTGATTGAGAAAAAAAAGCATTTCTTGCAGATATGCATGTGGTTTGGGTCTGAATAACTTAAATCGGTCTGTTAGCTTTATTTGTAAATTCATCACAGAGAGGAAAAGAGCCTATCTGGGTTCATTGAGGAGAGTAATTTGGTCATCAAATGTGATGTCCTGCACATCATACCTGCTTTGTTGGGATTTTCTGCCACCCATGCAATTGTTATGCCTCCAATCTCAGAGTCACTGAAGCGTAGAAGAAAAGTGCCATTGGGTTTGGACATCAGCATATCCTGAGCCTGCTGCTTGTTAACAAAGCCCAGGATGGCTCTACAAAGAGAGAGACATGTAAACACAAAGAGACATTTTTTATTCATGACTTTTTTATTGTACTAATTGCCATCAAATTTTTGGATGAGAGCAATAAAAGAAAAAGCTTCTTAGAAATCCCTACCCATCATTCCAGTGAGGTTTGAGATGCTTCTTTGTAAGTTCCATAACACCATCAAACCACTGCCAAAATGTGAAGTTCCTTCCTGGCAAGCTTTCCTGTAGACACATATGTTGAGGAAAAGATCTTCAGAGAAAGAATGCAGAGTTCAGTTTTATTTCACATTTCCCTAAATTAGATGGATTCACTGGATTGAAATAAAAATAAAATACATAAATATGGTTGAGCATAATGCTTTAGTGGTTATGGCAGTGTGTTTGTGTTTGTAAATTTTTTTTAAAAGGCTGACACTTCAAATTTCTGTCATCTGATGAGAATAATGTGTGGTGATTGGGGGGGTGCACATTCTGCATTCAGTGGCCGCTTTAAGCCATCAAATGAGGCCTCCAGCATTCTTCTAAGAGGACAAACAACATGATTAAAATTAAGACTTGAGGCATTCTCGCTTATGTTAACCACATAATAGAGCAGTTAGGATGCGACAAACACAGAGAGATATATTTCTGTGTATTGTATGGATCCCCTACTGTGTAAATGTTCCCATAAGAGCTATGCATGCGGTTAAAACATTTTATGCATTATAACTTGAGGGCTTAAACATAAAAGAAGTCAAAACAGAGCAGGATAAAAAAAAAATCCATCCATAAAGTTAATGTTAACAGATAACAGAACACTACTTTTGAAAGCTGTGTGTTTGTTCAGAGCATCACGAGGTAAGAGGGCTGGTGCTAACCCTGTTAAACTGTGACCAGGTCATCGTCATGCTCCGGTAGTCATCAGGATTGTTGCTGGAGCTGCTGAAAGCTTTTTGAGCCAGGAAGACCAGGTTCTCCTCAGATAACCCTCTGTTGCTCTGCACCTCTGCCTTGTACTTCATGTTGATGGCTTCACACAGCTGAGGCCAAAGCACCTTATCTGGCACGAGAAAAGGCACTCGACCCTGCACACATACAGGAGGAATAAGTGGGAATAAAAAGCTAAAAACTTTGTCAGAAAAAATGAATTGAAATATATATACATAGATGTACAAAAGCAGTTTTTTTTTTTTTCAAATCATGCATCACAGACAAACAAGGCCAAAGGTGAAAGTCTTTTGTGTTAAAAATTAAAAGGGATAGAAATGCTAACTAGTAAAAATAAACTGTATATTACTGGAGCCACAGATATGTTTAAGACAAGCAACAGCTATGTTGGATATAGAAATCTGGGTTGTTGTTTTATTTTTATTTATTTATTATATGTTTTATTTATTTTTAATTTCTTTCTTTTTTTATTTTAACATAAAAAAAAGAAATCTGGGTTGTTGTTTTATTTTTATTTATTTATTATATGTTTTATTTATTTTAAATTTCTTTCTTTTTTTTATTTTAACATTAAAAAAAGAAATCTGGGTTGTAAGAAACCTTCAACAGTGCTACTCAAAATAAAGCTTCAGAGCCATTTTTGACAGTTTTTTCGGACTTAGAATAGTGAATAAAAAATTTGAGAGTGAAACTGGAAAGCACAATTTAGGCACCGCGCAGTATAATAAAAGTACAATAACCCTGGGCGGTTAATGTTAAGAAAGCGCTGCTTTTACAACTTTTTATACACACATGGACAAAATTGTACCCCTCGTTAATTTTTTTTTTTTTAAAACACAATGGTCACAGAAATGACTAGAACCCCAAAAATTAACAATAAATAAAATTCTATGAACATGAAAAAAATAAAGTCAGACATTGCTTTTCAACCACGCTTGAACAGATTTAAAAGAACTAAACTCATAAAACAGTCCTGGACAAAAATGATGGTACCCTTAACTTAATATTCTGTTGCACAACCTTTTGAAGCAATCACTAACTGCAGTTAAACGATTCCTGTAACTGTCAATGATGCTTCTGCTCCTCTCAGCAGGTATTTTGTCCCACTCCTCATGAGCAGCCTGCTCCAGTCGTCTCAGGTTTAAAGGGTTCCTTTCCCAGATGGCATGTTTCAGCTCCTTACAAAGATGATGAATAGGATTTAAGTCAGGGCTCATAGAGGGACACTTCAAGATGGTCCAATGTTTTCCTCTCAGCCATTTTTACAGTTTTTAGGTGTGAGCTTTGGGTCATTATCCTGTTGAAGATCCATGACCTGCGACTGAGACCAAGATTTCTGACCCTGGGCAGAACATTTCCCTTTAGAATCCATTGATAGTCTTGCAGTTTCACTGGACCTTCAGAGAATCAAGATGCTCTGTGCCAGATGAAGCAAATCAGGCCCAGAACATAACAGAGCCTCCGTGTTTCAGTCTTTTCTTAATATACTTCTTTTTCATAGAGCTGATGTGCCTTGGCAAAAAGTTAAAATTTTCTCCACAGGACATTCTGAAAGCATTTTTTTGTAGTTGGCAAATTCTGATTTGGCTTTTTTTAAATTTTGTTTTTAACAATGGTGTTTTTCTCAGTCATCTCTCATTAAGTCCACTTTGGCTCAAACAACAACGGATGGTGCGAAGTGACACCGATTTTGTTTGAGCTTGAAATTCATCTTTAATCTCTTTAGAAGTTTTTTTTGGGTCTCTTTTGTCAAAATTTGTATGATCTGTCTCTTTGATTTTTCATGAGGTTCCCTCCTGTGGCCGCATCCGGGGAGGTTAACAAAAAAAAAAAAAAAGTATCCATTTCTGGCATCTACTTAATCATATTAAGTTGCTCTAGCACAATTGTTTAATGCTAGCAGGGTAGAGGTAATTACGTTAAAAATAACTATGATTCAGTAGATGTCAAAAACGGTTATATTATTTATTTTTTTTTCAGTCTATTGGCTAGAGTCCCATGGATTTTAAATTTCTGAATAAAACGTGCAGCTGTAGTCACCGGAACATCAAGGAGCTTGGAGATGGTCTTACAGCCTTTAACTTTAACATGCTTGTCTATCATTTCCTTTCTAATCTTCTGATACAACTCTTTCTTTCGCTTCCTCTGACTCATGTTGAGTGTGGTACACACCAGGTCACCAAACAGCACAGTGACTACTTGTCCCCCTATATATGGGCCCACTGACTGATTACAAGAATGGAGACACCTGTCATGGTAATTATTGTACACACCTTGATTTAACTTTTCTATGGGAACCATCATTTTACCTAAATCTTTTCAATATGTTTATTTGTTTATACTCATTCTATTGAACATTGTTAAAAAAGCAATGTCTGAGTTTCATTTGCATGCTTTCATTGAATTTTTAATAATGATTACTTCTGAGAGATTAAAGTTATTTCTGCGACCACTGTGGGTTTTTCTTTCATTAAACGAGGGGTACCAACAATTTTCTCCTTATGTGTACTTTCTCATATACAGTGACGTGGTATTAGTTTGACACAACACAATAAACTGGGTTGCCCCAAATATGTGTCAAGAATAGCAGCAAGAATTCTCAATATCAGGGCTACAAAAAATAATACCTTAGGAATGTATTTATTTTAAGTGATTATAATGCAATCATCTACTATTTATTTTCCTTTTTAAAGATATCAGTATTTCTGTGTCAGTAACTGGTGTTTCCTGACTTTGGAGAAAATTACAACTAAGATAAAAACAAAATAGGATTCTGTATTTTAGCTAGATGTTGATAAGCAGACACAATCTGACACACACAGACATTTTACTTACCGCCTCTGCAAATGCATTGTCCCACAATACAGTTGCTGTGGCATTATTGTCTTGGCTACCATGAACTATCACCACAACAGGAAGGGATAATGTCTAAGCAGAAAGAAAAACAAAAATATTCAGCCATAATTCTGTATATCTATATATATCTATATATCTATATATATATATATATATATATATAATGAACATTAGCTAAGAATTGGGGAAGCATAATGGTATGTTTTATCAAAAGCTTAGATTTATTCTGAATCAATTTATATTCAGAATTATTTTTAACGATAAACAATTCTGCATATAAATTAATTCCTACAATTACAGAAAAAAAATAACTGGATAGCATCTTTCCATATTAATGCTAATGTAACTCCTATGTTAGATTATTTCTTACCTTAACTTGAAAGACAAGTTCATTGCTTCCAACGCTAAACTGGGACTCAAACAAAATGGTGAACTTCTCTTCTGTGACTGACTCTGCTCCACGTCTGTCTGATCGCTTGATCCTTTTCAAAGACTACAAAAAAGAAGATGTGTTAGAACAATTTCAGGAATATTGGCATATACTGCTCATAACTATCGGACATATATCTAATTTAATTTTGGCACATTGATTATCCATAGAGGGCAATGGAGGATGGATCAAAACCAAAATGGAGGAGCTGTGTGTGCAGTAGATGTTTATAAGTATATGATTGCTGCTTTCATAGGATTTTTAAAGGGAAAACAGCCACCAGGTGGTTCTGAATAAAGCATTTGATTAAATGATAGCCAGGAAGTGTAACTGCATCAACAATTAAATGAGTTTAAGTAGATAGTTGGTCTGGAATAAAAATGTGTCAACACAATGCCAGGAAGGAAAGACATCAGCAATGACCTTGAAGAAAGATTTTTTTTTCCTGCCAATGACAACGGTTACAGTTATGAACTTTGTATGTTTTTTGCAGCAAACAGGTCTACATACATTTTTTCAGCTCTCTTGATATTTGATTTTTTTTAGGATGTAGAACCATTCAGAAAAGTTAATGACTCATTAAAGTTTCTTTTGAAATTGTTTAACCTAAACTAGAGTTCTTGTCACCATTAGTATAAGCATGTTTGTTAGTTTTCCATAAATTTTGTGCATATGTTAGTGTTTTATTTTTTGCAGTTTATTAAATTCAATATGTTTAACTAACATTTGCACTAATTATTCACAATACATTAAACTTAATGGGTGCTTTGAGAGTATCATCTTTTACACCTAACTTACGGTACCAATAACATTTTCTCCATATTATAACATCCTTATTTTCTCATAGTCTCTATGCACACATTTAAAAGTAGATATATATTTTTTTTTCTTTTGTAAGAGGAGTTATCCTTTCTTTACCACAGGTTCTCTATGGGTTCACTTCATGAAAAAGTGATTCATGCTGAATTCTCTGGCTTTGCGTGCAGGCATGCTCCACGCTCTCATTCACCTGGTGTGTTTCCAACACAGCAAGAGAACAGGGGCCATGAAGATGGATCACAAACCACTAGCTACACCTACACCTCAAACAGACTCCCTAAGAGCAAGAAAAATTTTACGATAACGATAAGGACCAAACTGGAGCGTCATAGGTGACGGAATTATACGAGTGTAAATAGCAGCATAGCTTTTAACAAGTAAGGATCAAAGATTTGGTAGTGAGCAATTTTTTTTGTTAAAAAGGTAAAATCATCCTTTTAAAAATAATTTTTAAATATTTAAAACGTTTTTACGCCAAATGACATTACGCCCCTAAACAAGAGACCAATGCAGTCACAGTGATTGCTGTTATGTTTTTTTCTCTTCCCCTATGCATGTGCACAGCAATGATCTAATTTGAACTTGATTTACCCGGAAATCTGACCTTTTTCGTGATAAAACATGTGGGTTGCTATTGAATTTCAATAACCTGCGGGAAAATCCAGATTATAAAAGTGACTTTGTTTTTTTTTTGTGTCAGCTCATTGTGCAAACTAGTGCGCACCCTTTATAAAGCACGATATTGGACCTCCTCCTGTTTTGACATCAATGCTGGAGGAATGCTAACATTAGCTGCCTTGTTAGCACCAGTTCCATCTCTATGCAATCAAAAGGAGAGGTGTTAAAAATATTAATGTTTCTCTCTCAAGTAGAATTATAAATCCTACAGTTTAAAAACACATTTGTTGAATTAAGAATATTAACTTAAGCTTTTTTACTCAAGTAAAAGTGTAGAAGTACAATAAAGTATTTTCAAAAATACTAGTATAAGTATAAAAGTAAAGTAATGCAGGAAACAATGTTCTAGACAAATGCTTTCAACCCTATACCGGTTACTGCACAACTGTATTAAAGGAAACTTTTTCTATAATTTATTTTTAGTTTTATAACTAATGGAAACTGTCAAATTTAACTTTACATCATTTTGAACAACTATTTATTTTGGTGCTATAACGAGTCCAACCACAAAGAAACTAATTGTCTGAATGAATTTAATTATTTTATGTTTTTTTTTTTTTTTTTTATACTAACAGCTCATAACGGGAAATTAGATTAAGTGGAAGAGAACAAACAAGTCAATTTTTTAAATTTAAGGTGTAGAAATTAGAAATAATTGCAAAACATGTAATGAGTAGAAGTAAAAAGTTGTCTTAAAAATAATTACTCCAGTAAAGTATAGATAGCCAGAATTTTGACTAAAGTAAGGTAACAAAGTTATTCTACTTTGTTCCTTGACACCTCTGGCTACAGCCACATAAATGGGCATACAAAAAAGCCAAATTCTAATGCACACTTTTATAAGAAATAAAAGGATATGAAAGGAGGACTAAATGATTTCTCAGACATCTAACATGGGCTTAATGTAATTATCAGAAGGATCTTATAAGCAAAATACCAGGTTATTTAACTTAACTCCTCTTAACTTTAGCAGCACTTATACTGCTGCCAGCTTCCTTCCCTGAAATACTTCCAGGGATTTTACTTTAGTTTTTTATTACATTTCAGACATAATTGGAAGTCCCCTAAATGGAGATTTGAAAGAAGAAGGACATCTATAAATCCACAGTTAGACACCTTGTTCACGTAACTTAGATTTAAACATATGTATAAGAATGATTTTTGTTGTAGACGCCAGTAAGACTAAAGTAGAGACAAAATATCAGGACAAACACTTCAGAACAAGTGACATTCCAGGTAATAAAAGAGTGATCTGGGTTTGTGATGTAGTCGGTATGGATCAATATACAGAACTCTTAATATAGGGAGTACTTTCTTTGTACTGTAGCTGAGTGTCACACTTCAAAACCAACCCGGCTAATATTTTGTACATCCACCTAGTCCAATGAAAACAGTTTTCACTTGTTAAGAGATGACACTTCAGGGTGTGTTTTGCTGTTTTTAGTGACAAGCTGATGACAAAACATCATATGGGTGCTGTGGGTTAAGGGTGGGGCACATCTTTGTTCCCACACCTCTCTCAAGCTCTTAACAAGATTGGTATCGAAGAAAGTGAGAAGGCCGGATCTGCCTGGATCAGTTTGTTCTGGTTTCTATGATTTATCTTTCAAATAGATTTCACTTGTAAACTTGGGGTGGAAGGGAGAAAAAACACACCTGTATTTCAAGGTATGCTCCTAAGTAATAACCTATAAACAATTAACTATTCTCAACTGAGTTAATTATTTATGCACATAAAACAGAAAACAGGGTGTGGGGGTGGTTTAAATGCTTTGAGTTGCACAATGAGAGCATGAAGCAGGGTAAATCACTTTCCCGTGATTCCATATTTAAAAAATTATCGTCCCATTTAGATAGCGAAGCCCCACTTACCATGTTTCTGAAGTGTGCGCTGAGAGTGCCTGTAGTCTGGTGGTACTCCATCACACAGTTATTGTTAAGAATTTCTCCACTGCTCTCACTGGAACACAGTCAATTAAGGAGGGAGTAAATTATCTCTTCTGTCTAATGTGATGGACACATGTGCTGAGAGCTGGAGTGCTTTCATCTTTCTGTTTTCCAAGAATGATGTTTCTCCTGTTTTAATTAGAATATGCCGCTATCATCGTAACCATCTTATGCTGCTAAGAACAAAGAAAAACTTGTGTTTGAGCACGAGGCTTATGGCCAACGATGATTCAACTCTTCAATTGATTTTCAATTTTTGCCCCTAGCTGCCAAGCTGACCTAGAGATCAGAGAGATTTGTTAAAAATCAGGAGAGAGACTGTGAAAAAGGCTAAAAACAGATTCTGTATCTACACCACAGATTCCTCTGAGGCATTTTTCAAGTTCCAGTCATGTCTCTGTGCTAAGCTGTGAAACCAGAAAACTCATTCCAAACAAACTCATATTTATTGATCTCTATGGGAGAGCCTGAAACATCTTATGAAGCATCATGGAACCCCAAAAACAATCTGTCTGTTACCAAAATGGACAAACTAATGTGTTTCTTTTTGTGTTTTAAATTTGCATAGAGAGAAAAAGAGTACTGAGAACGTACTTCCTTGTGTTTTCATTTTTCAGCAAGGCCTTGGCTTGCTGCTCACTAATTATGGTGGCTTTGACCTGAGGAGGGTTCATGTGCACGTTCAACTTCCCTCCCACTAGGAGGCGTACTGTGGCGGCAAACTTGGTTTGGGTCTTCAGAACCTGGGGTGGTTGTTTCTCAATGATGAAGGTACTTTGAGAAGAGGAGAAAGAAAGAAACAGGAAGTTAAAAACAAAGCAAAGCAATATTTATCTGCTTGATTCCCTTTACTACAGCCAACTCTAATGCAGTTAAAATGAGAATTGTTAAAGTTTCAAATTAATTTTGTTGCTGCAGACACTGTGATTTCCTCTTATTTATTTGTATTTTAAAAGATAATAATTTTAAATTAGACATGCTTGGACATCTTTATGTCATCAATGTGTCTTAGCAGGTTTAATTATCAATTTTCTTTCCCTTTTATAAAGTAGCTCTAATGGTAACGTTTAACCAAGGCCATCTGCAACAAAAATCATTTTTACAAATTTCCAATTTATTCACTTTTAATGCAGTCATGTTTATAAATCTTAAGATCTCTGTTTAAATTTTAAATAAACTCTGCATCCTTTGTGCAGTCCCCTTGAGGATGAAAACACAAAATAAAGGTCATCTTAGTTACACCGCTTCAATCGCCCAACAATAGCGTCTCTTGAGATATTTCTGTCAAGATAATCTATCTATGAGGAAACACAAACACATACAATAAAAAGGCAGACAGAATAAGATATAAGCAACAGCACAATTCTGCAGGTCCAAAGGGAGCGTGAGTAAAATGATTATGTTGTTAGGAGTCTATAATCCTTCTGATGTGCAGGTGAGATAAGTAGCGATAGGAAGGCAGCTATCTCCATTTGACAGCGTGAAACCTCAGAAGATTTTAGGGGATTCTAAAGAGGATGTTGCCAGAGAAGCAGTGCATTACTATCTGGTAACAGACTTGTCTGTAGCGAGTCATAAATTGCTGTGACAATGACACGACTTCTCTGTGTGTTATCACTACCTGTGGGGACTATCTCATAAGACAGTTGCAGAAGATGCTGTCAAAAACTTTAGCATACTCTCACTCAGATGCACGGAAAGGCAAAGTCATCCTGGCAGATGGGCCTTTGGGGAGTACAATAATGGACCGAAACAAGTTGTATGTGTCTTTTTAACCACAATGCCTCTGCAGACCTCTTTAGGTGCATTCATCTTCCATTCTTTATCTTAGCATACTATAATGGAAAAGTGTTGACTCTTCCAGGGTACCATCACTTTTTAATTGTGATGCATTTACAATGTATTTGCAGTGTAGTGAAAAGCTGCTTTGCTCCTTACAGGTAATTTATGTTTTAACTTTTTGTAACACGCTCTTTACACAAAGTTTCACATCATGTTAGATTAATGCCCGGTCTGGATAACCAGGAAATTACATAAACAGATGCAGAACCCAATGCAGGGTCAATGCACAAATACCAATCTACAATACTGACAGAAATTCAACCAGAGATGAGAGTGAAGGTAGCCAACAGCTACCAATCTGACAAGTAGGGCTGCACTGAAAAACAATCGCAAAATAAGTAAACATTTCTTAAGGGTATTTAACCTTAATTTGAGTAGAAAATAATATGATTTGCCAATGGAATTAGTTTTTTTACTCTTACAATAAGATAATTAGATAATATGCACTTAAAGTTAACATAAAACCCGATCCAGAAACAGCCCTCTTTGGTGTCTCGGACACTCTTAACAAATTGGGTCATGATGTAACAACAGTGGTCTCCTATGGCATGATGATTGCTAAAAGATGCATATTAAAGCAGTGGAAGGCTGACAGACCACCTAATTTTGAATCTTGGATCAAGGAATTTACAGGAGTCTTGCACATAGAAAAAATTAGATTTGATTTAATAAACTGTCCTCAAAAATATTACAAAATTTGGAAACCCATTTTAGAACAACTGAAGCGATAAAGAACTCCTATCTTCCCCTCTTTTTTTTTGTTCTACTTTATCTCATTTGTTACGAATAAAGGTGTGGACACTCCTATTTGACTGGTTGAAACTCCATAAAGTGTGTTTTTATTTTTTTTACTTTCAGTATGTCCAAAGTGTAAATGAACAAATTATTTTTATATAATATTATTTATTGTTTGTCTAATGCTTTTTTTTTGTTGTTTTTTTTTGTGACAAATGCTAAAGGATTCACTAAAGGACATTAATCATTGTCATGTCTTTGTTGTATACCTGTAAAAGATCTATAAAATAAAGTAAAAAAAAAAAAAGATAACATGCACTTGAAATAAGATAATGAAATTGTTTTTATTTTTTTTTTACTTTAAATGTAATTTGTCTCGTTCAATTGGGAAAGTGTCTCACATACCTCCTCAATTCAGAAAGAAATGCACTTATTTTGAAAAAAAAAAAATTTATTGAGATTTCAAAAATGAACTCAATTGCGATTTTTTGAGTTACAGGTCAATTTAAGATTTATTTGATACAATATCAATGGAAATATTTTGATACTGATTTTGTAATAATTAGACATTTATTTCTTTATTTTCTTGTCTATTTGAACAGCCATTGTATACTATTTTAAGCAATAAGATATTAATATGGAGTGCAAAGGTAAAAAAAAATAGTAACATTGAAGTAAAGTCCAAGGTAAACATTAATCATCTCCTTTCCTGTTAGAAACTGTGATAAAATAAAGCATCAGTTCAATTGTGAAAAGAAGGCACAAAACTAAAGCCAGCCTGAGAGTTCTTAACAGTCTGGCACACTTTCAACTCCTCAGTTCATATTTTATTAAAAAATATAGGCTTGTAAATTATATATAATATACATCAGCATAGAGTGTGTAGCCTGTAAGGGAACCTGTAATAAGCTATGTAGTTTATTGTCATGCAACAAAATAACTGTCAATCAAAACAACATAAAACTAACAAAAGAGCAGGGAAGAAATGGAAAGCTACTGTATTTGTAAACCCACATTGTTTCCTATGTGTGTAGAGTTAACAATGAAGACACTGACTGCAACATAAAGTAACCGCCCCCTGATTTATTTAGGTTTTCATGTTGTTTAAATTAATTCTATGATCTAAAACATTTAAGTGTTAACAAAAAATAGTTAGAAGAAGTCCAAAAGAATGCTCACCTCGTGACCAAAGCTGAGATGATATCTGTGATTGTGCTGTTGAGTTCATTGAGGAGTTCTTCGATAGGTCCGGGGATGGGCAGCTGCTGCCTCAGGTGCTCGGCCCGCCGAATCTGCTGCCTGTTTTGCCAAATAGTCTCTGCAAGCTTCTCACACCTGACAAAAGAATAATTGCAATGATTTAATACTTTCATAATCAGAGAACACTCCCTCTACTAAAACTCATTAAACATAGGTTAAACATAAGAACTCCTGAGTCAATATATAAGAAATGGCAGCCTGTGAATACACACTTTGTATGTCTTTTATTAAAAGCTTCAGAGGTAAGCCCAGAGGAAGCCTGTTGGAGGCTAATAAACCCGTAATTTCATGCTGTTTGAAGGATTCTAGTGGCTGTGTTCTTAGCGGGAGATGGGAAAGAACTCACCAGGACTGAAGGATGTCCAGGCCCCCCTCCGGCGGGCCCCCGTTGCCTGCCAGCTGTTGCCGTCTCTTCCACTGGATCAGCTCGTCATCCAGAATGATGGTCTGCTGCTTTCGCAACAGCTGCAGTGTTTTCTGATGCTTCTCTGCCAGGTCCTGTACATAAAGCAGTCAAAACAAATGCAAACTATCACAATAAACTCAATCAAATGTATCGTTGTCTTTTGGTGCAAAGGCCCGCTCTGGCTGATGGAAGGCCACTCCTTAGATGGATGCCAAAGAGGCTATAACAAATTTAATTCATCTGCTTTACAGATGCGTAACTGAAAAGACAAATATGGAGTACTTTTACTGAGGCTTTCTCACCAGGCGGTATTTCTGTAGTGTGTTGGCTTCTCTTGTCAACCATGCCTCCACGGTAGCTCTCTTGCTGAGGAGGGCGGGTTCCCGCAGCTGCCGGTCAGAAGGGGGCAGAGTGGCAAGGCTGGACAGCTGAGCTGTTGAGGGTGTGGACAAGTTAAACACTGATCAAAAGAGAGGAGAAAGATTTTTTTTAACCTGTGCAAATACAGCATATGTTATAGTCTTTGAGCCATAATAGCTTACTCCAAAGTCGTCCCTTTAGGGAAGTGCAGACCTTGAGAATTCCATTGTACTCTGGCCCTCATGAAAAAAGTTGTTATGAAATATGTTATGAAAGCCCCCCCCACACTCACTCTATGGAATTAAATTAAGCTAACAGCTGTTAGTTTAGAGTCACTTAGGATTACCAAAATGACATCTATTTAGTAACATGCCAAAATAAGAACTATTCTTCTTACTTTGTTACAAACATTTCCCTAAGTATTTCAAAGTTATGTTTTTATATCTGTCAAATGTCTTGACCCATATACAAACAGCATAAGCACTATCTAAGGACCCAATCTAATAAATAAATTATTGCTTTTATTCAATGCATTTGCACAGCGGAGCTTAGGCTGTGATTTTTCTGAAATTTACAGACATGATCTGTGTGGAAATGATGCTTAAGTGCTGCATGTAGTTCAGAGCCCTGTGACTCCACAGAAAGCACAAGCCAGCTAAAGTGCATTGCATGCTGTGATCCACCTGCGATTCACCACTGTAGCCTATGTGTCACATTTTTCACCTCTGTCCTGGTATCCCACAATTTCAAATAATGTCCCGCATTGAACAGGGTTTAAATTGTAAAGAAAGCAGGGCTTGAACCCTTGTCACAGCGCTAACTACCCTGCATATGATGTTCTTAAAATGAAAACAGGTAAAGGACTTTAATAAATATCTCTGAATTAAATGTTTAACTATTCTTAACTTAAGGACATATAGACCCAATAATGAATGCAACAATTTATCACATTTGCTTTTATTTGTAGATATTGTTGCTTCCCTTAACCCTTTTTTTTATGCTGCACAAAACCAATCCAAGTTTACTAGCTAGGGACCCAAAAGATCTTCTAAAAACTCCAATATGTTCTCTATTCTTTGCTAAAAGCAAGTAAAAATGTCAGATTTTACTACCAGGGACCCAAAAGATCTTCTAAACACTCTAATACATCCTTTATTCTTTGCCAAAAGCAAGTAAAAATGTCACAATTTACTAGCCAAAGACCCAAAAGATCTTCTAAAAACTCCAATATGTCCTATATTCTTTGCTAAAAGCAAGTAAAAATGTCCAAATTTACTAGCCAGGGACCCAAAAGATCTTCTAAAAACTCCAATATGTCCTCTATTCTTTGCTAAAAGCAAGTAAAAATGTCAGATTTTACTAGCCAGGGACCCAAAAGATCTTCTAAACATTCGAATGCATCCTCTATTCTTAACTTAAAGCAAGTAAAAATGTACAATTTTACTAGACAGGGATCCTAAACATCTTCCAAACACTCCAATACATTCTCTATTCTTTGCTAAAACAAGTAAAAATGTGCGCAGGACACAAAATCGACACAATGTATAGCAGCACCGAATATTTCTGTCTAAATCACAGAGATGCCAATATGTGGTCCACATTGGATCAGTATAATTGCATGACCTTAGAGATCAGAAAAATAAAGAAGGTAATTTGAGGGGGAATTATTGTTTAACAAATTATGTGGTCCCATGGTAAAATTAAAGCCATCAGAATAGGGCTTTAAATGCCCCAGAATGTTGGCCAATTCCTTCTAAACAAAATGGTCTAAGTCAGGGTTATGTGACTCCTTGCTTGTAGACACCTTTAAAGCTCGAAATCACTGTTAAAATAGCTGATCTGAAGAGCTGTCATCCATTTAGAGGAAACATTTGTAACTGAATGTTGACTTCTTGGCTGAGGTCTTGAGACGTTGCTTCATTATTTTCACATGATGATGATTTTTCCCCATGGTAACATCTGCTTTGGGAAGTGCGCAAAACCCTAATGCAGCTAAACATGCCCATGACATACAGATGTACTGGAACTATGCCGATTATAAAAAAAAAAATCTCTGTTTATCAGACCACAGAACATGTGCCTGAAAGTGTGAGCTTTATTTACTTTGAATGAAAACTTTACTCTGAATGCTTATGCTTCTGGAAGAGCTGTTTTTTCTTAACTCAGGGTCCCCCCCATCCAATGATGGTTGGGTGCAGCATTAGAGTAGGTGCCCCATCCAGGGAGGCTATCGACTCTTGTCAAAGCCACCCAGGATTTTCATGCCAGAGCTTAGGACCATTGCTCCATGCTTATCTCCTTCTCTCTCTTCACATTCTCTGTTTGATTATTTTTCAAGGTTTTTAAACTGTAGCACCATGATCTGGGATTTTATGCATAACAACCACAGTAATGGAAAGCGCTGAGTTTTGTGAAATGGGTGAAATGAATCTGTATTTTTTCTTGCATCTAGGGCACGGAAATACATTTGGTAATTCTAACTCACCTATAAGACCTGCGAGTTTTAATTGAGTAAATGTCAATAAAGAAATGTTGCACACCGTTCAACCTACACATTTATAGATTTCTTACTAATTACCAACCCTGCAGCTGCTCATTATGCATGTTAGTAATTAGTTTTGAGTAACAACGCTGACAAGCATGTCCTCTGGTCTCACCCTGGATCCGAAGGCTTTCTTGGTACTGGATGATAAAGTACTCCTGGTTGTGCTGGAGCTTACGCAGGTCGTTCTCAGTGTCTTGGGTGAGCAGGCGAAGCTCCTCGAAGCCTTGGTTGATCTGCTGGTACTTCTGAGACATACTGTCCATCATCCCGCCCACTGGAGAGCTTGACTAAACACAACATGGGAAACTCAGAGATGGAGGAATGAGGAAGCCAAACATCTGTGACTGAAAAAGTTTGCTTTTGCACATCGTATGTTAAATCGCTTGCCAGGTGGAAGGAGGGATTTGTTTACTTTGATTATTAACACAAATGGGTGAGCTGTTATTTTAGAGCCCTTAGGGTAGGATGCTGACTTTTCTATGTTGTATTTAGGGCGTTTGATGACGAACTCCACAGTGGCCTACAAAAAATACAGAGGCAACAGTGGAAAAATGAGATGAGAGAAAATTCACGTGTACTGTCTGGCTTGCCATGAGCGCACCACGGTGCCTGGTGGCGTGAATTTCCTTCGGTCAATTTCACAAAAAGAAGAAAACACGATGTGAATGAAAATCAATTCAGAAAAGGACTTAGCAGGAGTCAGATGTTTTTACGCACTGCTAGTTTCATGGTTTTATAACTCATGGTGCCATGGTGTGAACGGAAAAAGCACTGCTTCATAAGGCAGCGTTACAATGGTAAAATTCAAAAGAGGAGATTCAGCAAAAACATAAATAAAAACTAAACATAAACTAATGCACTATGGAATCACTTTTAAACCAGCCAAATAAAATCTGCTTTTATTTTTTGGACAAACAGCAGAAAAAGACAGCAGTTATCCAATTACCCAATTTCTGAATTGAGGACCATTATGTTGTTTGTTTACTTAGTAATGTCAGGTCTGGTCCAGGAGGTGGCATGAATAGTTGGTGGAGGTGTTTGTGTGTTTATATGCAACACACTTCAAACGCCATCCACATCCAACTTACATTTGTTGCTTCTCTGATGAGCCTCTGCTCTGTGTAGAGGATGTGTTTGATACATCGGACCAGCTCCAGCGGACAGCGGTCATACGTGCTCTGAAAGACAAGGAGAGCATGAGCCATGTTAAGATCCGTTAGCACCCGACGAGCCGAGCAGCCGCTGCTCACAGGGCACACCAATTTAGTAGCATCAAAGAAGCTTGTTAAGTTCTGGAGGGAATGCTGGAGACATGCTAAAATCAATTAACACCTTGAAGCGCAGTGTGGCACACCTCAGTGACGGGAATTACAACTGTTTATTAAACTAGTGAGTAGTCGCTGGGATATTTTAACTACTGGTGAGTAGATTGCTATTAAAAAATAAGTATGATAAACATCTAAACATAAACTGATTAAAAATTACTGTATAAAGTGCAGGCATGGTGTCATGGTTAAGAGATCAATACGCAAATCCGTCTTTATTTCCATGCCAGGTTTCAGGCTTGAGAAAATGGTAATCACAGGAACCTTTCAGTGAGCAGGGACTTCGATCATAAATAGCAGTGTTGGTTGGTTACCTTAGAACTCACTTGGTCTGTTCTCTTGTTTTCCTCCATGTGGATACAACCTGTTCTCAAAACACCAAGTGTATTGTGTACTCTTTCTAGGAACTACTTCAAGGAGGGAAACTGAGCGAAACACTTTTGCTTTATAAACACCTATCCCCTGTTTCATTGTAAGCAACTCAAATATTGTTTTGAAACCTTACTTTGTTGTCTTTTATATTTATTGAACAAAAGCTAGATATCATTTGCATTAATAAAAAAAAAATGTACTCCTAAAAAAAAATAAATTATATATTATCAATTATTAAATCTCCTTGTGCTTTCATATCACATGAAACACTTTTACTGTGGTGTACAGACGTTATTTATATATATATATATATATATATATATATATATATATATATATATATATATATATATATATATATATGCACTAATGTAGGAGGGCAAATTCTATAGTTCTGCAGGTAACTATTTGCCTTTTTCCTAAATGAATATACAGCTGTGCTTGTATAAGTTTGCACACCCTACCATTAAATACATCTAAAATGTCTCCATCATATCAGCAGTTACAGACGAAGTAATATCGTCGCTTCAAATAGCTCACTCAGCCTTCTAATCCATGCTTAATGTTAAAGAACATATTTAGATTCTGATCACAGGTTAAACACATGAGATTAGTTTGTAGCTAATATAGATAATTTCACACAAATATATTGACATTGTAAATAGCAATACTTGTATCTGCTGACTTTAACAAATCTATAGTTTTATCCACTATGGCACAATGAGGAAGGCATTATCTCCAGGATTATATATTTTTGTTTTACTCTACATACATAGTAAGACTACATTAGCAGAGTTTATATGTCTTTATTAAGCATTGTTTAACCTCTCGTGGGGACTTTAAAATTTTTAATACACAGCTCTATACTAAGTTTAACACTTTATTTCCATTTCTTCTTTTACAAATAGCTTCAAAGAAGTTTGACTTACTTCTAAAGTTTGAATGTAACCATCTTAATAGTTCTCTTAGCTTGCATCGCTTAGGGAACGAGCACAAGCTGAGGATTAAAGATGAAGTAACTAGTTTAAAAATGTCAACAAATGAATATCGGAACTGAGAGTCAGAGTTTTTAGAAACAGGAAAGAATATTCAGCTTCAAGGCTTCATGAAAAAACTGCTTTGTACTTAAGCTTATCCACTGCATGTACATTTGCACAAGCTTATGCTCTAAACTTCTTAGAGCATAAGCGGCAAGAAAATTGTCATTTAAAGCAAAAAAGTCAAAAAACCTTTGATTAACCTTTGAGACAAACGAGATAATCAATTTGACCAAAAGGCATGGGAAAGTTTAGGTTCAACAATATGAAATGAAGGGATAACTCAACAGAAAAACAGCAACAACAACAAAAGTTACCTTGAGTTGATTAGCGTAGTGACCCAGTTTGATTTTAAGTAGGAAACCATCTTCTCCAACCTGGTGCTCAGCCTTGTTTTGCAGCTCTTGTATCAGACTATCCAGCAGACGTTTAGCTTTGAACTCCTCCTGTGGGTTCTCCAGGTCTATGGCATCCCTAATGAAACACAGAGAGACGCAGATAGAATAAATGTGGAATGCATGTAGTTTGATGACTCTTGATGCAGTGGATACCAACAAAACTCACCAGAGCTGGCTCTCTATCCACTGGGACAGATAATGTCGCACTTCAATGGGGAAGTGCTGGCCATACAGTGATTGCATCTGGTGAAGCGCATCTCCCTGAAGCTGCTGGGCCTGAATCCACACTGCCATCATCAACACCCTGAAGCTGCAAGGGAATCAACTAGTTAGTAAACAGAGTATCGGCCTGATGACGCAAAAAAACTAGCCACATTTGTGCGATTTGAATACAGAGAGAAAGTTAGGAAACTGACAGTTTGCTGAACTAGCTGTATAAATGAAACCTGCAGTAATAAGCACATAAAGTATGCAATAATGACGGATTTCGCATTTACACATTAAAAAAAGCCTATATATTACAACACACCCTAAATGTTTCTGAAACAAAAAGTGTACAATTTACATGCAAAACCTTTCAATCAGGTTTTCAAAGCACAGAACTAAGAATAGACTGAGGTTTTAAACAAAAAATTGGCTTTAAAGGAGAAATTATATGTTAAACTTTTTTTTTTTTTTACTTTTTTGATGGTCTATAAGGTGCTGGCTGAATAGTCTTTGGCCAAGGTCATTATACAGGGGGATTTTAATATTCATGCCGACATTAGACCTAATTGGTTTTGCTCAAAATGTACTACCACTTTTTAGAAACCTTCAAAATGTAATGTAAGTATTCTCCTTCCCAAAATAATTCATTTGAATTCAGACAAAATAGAACTTATTGTCACTTCCTCTGGAAGGCATTAACTTACCGGTAGCCTCGAAATATAGTGTAAAAAACCTTATTTTTATTATAGGATATTACAGAAAATCTAAATTTATTGCACAGGGACAATGCTGAGAAACTAGTCCATGCCATGGACAAGTTCCCCCAATGGACTTCCTGTTAAATCCAGAGTAGAATTTAAAATTCTATGAGCCCTATATACCCTAACTCCATCTTACATCAGGGATCTGATTGTTCCTTTTGTTCATATCTTCGCTCCCAATGAGTGAATATACTATTATTGTCTCCAACATTCTATGAACGTTAAACAATGTTTTATAATTCCGTAAAAATATAAAAAAAACTATCCACTGGACTTGGTTTCCAGTGGATAGTTTTTTAAACTTTTACGGAATGACTATGACCTGGATGACTGAGAATCTTCATCAGCAATGTTTTATAATGTTTTATTTAAAAAGCATTTCATTATTCTGTTATCCTTTGAATTTGTTGCTTGTCCTTTATCTCCCCATCTACGACCAAATCTATGAGCTATATATCAATTGCTACCCAGCTTCACCTGCTTAATATAAAAATGTATTCTGTTATAGCTAATAGAATAAAATCCACTTTACACACAAGGTTGTGAACGTTGTCACATATCTCATTACAAGGTGCAGCAGGAGTCCTTAAGGAATCAAATTGAGTTTGCTTGTTAAAGAGGCCTGTTGAGCTCGAGGAGACAGTGTGATGAAAGAAACACAAATTTTAGTTCTTAAAATTCAATAATGCAATGTGCTGAAAATACCCAAGTTTTATTATTCAACTAAGATCAATTATACTATTCTATATCTATCAGAAAGCAGGTGCAGATTGTAAGGTGCAGTCTATGAAAACCATGATTGATTTAACTACATCTTTTTTTTTTTAAGAAAAGGTAATTCCATGGCATATATACACACAGCATAAAATGAGCAAGCAACAGCAAACATCATTAACACATTTAGTAATGTTCATACTGGACTGATTTTTTATTTATTTTTTCCTTTTTTCAAGAAAAATTAAAAGCTTAGATAGCTTGTGAGTTTAGTCTTATCTGCACCGTTATATGTTGCAAATATTTGGTGCTTAAATCGTGTGTTAAATATGTAAAAAGCAAGAGATACTTAAAAATTTAAAAAAATTCCACTACTTAGATCCAAATACTTGATACAATTTCTGCCCACTCCTTGTCAAGCTTTTTAAATCTTAAAAATTATTGAAAAAATTAGGAGAGTGCTATAATTAAGTATAAATTGGTTACATATTTATCAAGCCATAAACAATTACGCAAAGTTAGCTCATGAGAAAATCAGGATGTAACCAAAGAGATTTATATACCTCATAGAAACCTATTGCAAATTAGGTTTATATTGCAAAACTTCAAATTGCACCCCAAGAGAGGTCACTTTAGGATTTTCCAAAACTTCTTTTGAAATTCAACCTGTTTAAATTATTAGGAATGCTTATAAAAACACTAAAGCTTCATATTTCTCTCTTCTTTGAAATTTTCTACCATAAGTTCCTGATAACCGATTTAATCCTTTTTTTTTATTCTACAAGCTGTAGGTCTCCAATTTAAAAGATGCTAAAGTTACAGGGGACTATAGCAAAACTACCTTGATGATCACAGGTCACACATGGTTCTTTAAACTGGTGAAGATCTCAGTCATCCAGATCATAGTCATTCCAAAAACAGAAAATTAAAAACAATCAACTTTGGATTGGTTGGTGGATTGTTTTTAACTTTCTTTTTTTGGAATGGTTCTTTAAAGGGGTCATACAATGCAAAACCGAGTTTACATTGTCATAGATGAATAACAATAGTTCGGTGGGTTAAATGGACATACAGAGAAGTTCAAACCCCATTGACACCTCCTTTCTCTGCAAATCTCACAATTCTAAACTTCCACCATAAAACGGGCGAATCCAAACGAAGTCTCAATTGACATCAGCTCGGGGATGTTGCCGTATTTGGTTCTGGCCTGTACTTTTGTCTTTCCCCGAAATTGACATACAGACCAGCCCACTGGTTCACTGGCCCAAGCGAGGGGGGCGGGTATGAAGTGTCGACTACTGGGCCGTTGACTGGACCGGACCTCAGTGGAGAGCCATGAGCCGCTCGTCCTCAGCCGGAAGAGGGGCGGCAGGCGGGGGGAAGCACGGTGCCGCCTGTGTCCAGGCTACCATCACCAGGTCCGGCTCAGTCGCTCCGTCCCCCGCTGGCTCCCTGCCCCTGTCCGCCAGGGTTCCTGGACCAGCCCCGGAGCTGACGGCTCGGTTCCAATGCCCGGTGTGTTTCGACTATGTGCTGCACTGTAGGCGACCAAAATGGACCAAAATTTTGAAATTTCCCCACAGACTATTTTTTATGTATTAAAAGTAGTACATGTCTGTGAAAAAGGGGACGTCTGGTCAGCCTACCATATCAACAATTTCAATGTTTCAGTGAGTGAGTGCTTGTTGCTATGATGCGTCTTTACTTAGCAGTTTCGCTCATTGTAAACCAACCAATTAGCGGACAGCTCAGCTAAATATTCATGAGCATACCATAAAAGGAAGAAAAGCTGTCGTTTCATTCTAGGGCTTATAACCAGGCTCATAGAACAGAGAAAATGCTTGAACAGATCTTAAGGATCAGTACCAAGTAACCTATATAATCACTCCACAAAACAAAACTCCAAACCATCTCTGGCAGACTGATATAGCTGTAAGCAAAATGAAGCAGACATTTCCTCTGCCTTTATGGCATTAAAGATGTATATCTTAGAGTTGAGGCTTGGAGCCCTTTAGTATTTATTACAAGCTTTACTGTGAAAACCAAAACCTCAGTGGTTGCTGCCATCAAGTCTTTTGCAGTTGGGTTGAGGGTTTTTACCACCTGCCTCCCAGAAATCAGGTGGAGGCAATTAACCGCAGTATTTTTCTACCTCGTTTGAAGGATTTGTCACTGTGCCTTTAACTTTAACCTTGTGAAGTGACTTCCAGCTGGATCTCTAAGAAAAATACTTTTTTTGTGGCAGTCAAAGGCCTCTGTTCTTAAGTTTATTAAAAATTTTTTAGAGTTTGCTTCATTTCTAACATGCAATTACAGGTATTTGAGATGTTTCACATAAAGCACACTGTATGCAGCTAGTTACTGATTGCATCAGTTTGGTATGAGATGCAACTGGGTTTGCTAATGTCTGCAAAAAAGAGACAATTCTAAATAAACAAAAATGAAAATAGAACATAGAGATATAGATGTTATAGATAGATATAGATATTTTTTGAGGAGATCCACATAAAATTTTTACTATATCCGTAATTTGAATTACAAAACATCCTGATGAGAAACAACTTCCTTAAATCTGTTTTATTTTTCCATCTTCAACAATAACAGCGAGCTATTAGTGTTTCTGTGCAACACTTATTTTTCACTCTGTTTTCACTCTGAACATGCTTAAGGCTTAAATTGTTCTCGAGTTATCCCTAGGTTGAAATGCATTGTGTTGGGTCAATCTCGCTTGTTTCCAGTCAACACACCCACTCACCCTTCTCAAAAGTGGCCCAGTCACTGTCAGTAAAAGGCAGAGAGAAATGAGTATGCGGGAAGTTTGTGGTGTACATTTGTCATGTTTGTGTGCGCATCAGTGTATTTGTAGGTGTTTGTGGTGTCAGTGGTTCTGCCTGACAATGTGTGCATCTTTTGTATACCTGTGCACAAACACTTCACACAAACATACCTACACATAGCTTCTTTACTATAACCCAACAAGCAAAAAAAAAAGGAAGTTAAGCCTCCAAACCAATACGATACTGTGTCTCTCGCACATCTCTTTCACTTTTGTTTCTCAGCAGCTTATTTCCGAAATCCGGACCGCCCATTAAAACACTCTGCGTTAGTTTTGTTTGATTTTCTTCTTCCATAAATGCAGTTTTTTTGATGCAGCAATTAAACAGACATATGTCTAGGTAAACACTTAAAGCCACACAGAATTTAGAGATGCAAACAGTAGACTATCTCCGTTATAAAAGAACAAAACTGTGTTCTGAGCAATGTCCTTCAGCAAAGCAAGTCCAAGGTTTAATTCCAAGGTGTGCATGTTCTCCCCATGCATGGGTTCTCTCTTCCTCACACAGTCTAAAAACTTGACTGATAAGGCTCAGTTAAGCTTGACGCATGCACATTTTGCATGTTAAATGAGACCCACTGACAGCAAGTCTGCAGCTTTTATACTTCATGCTGCTTTTACACTTGTACCTAATATTCTGGCCGGCTCCAGGAGTACAGCACAACACAATACATATAGTAGCAGAAAATACAGCCGTTTTGGTCATCAAAGAGTGAGAATAATTTCCTTCCGAGAGATATCTGTGAAGATTTTCAGTCATCCAGGTCATGGTCAAGCTTGAAATGTTGAGTT